GGCTAAGCAGCAAACCACACAATCATCTTGAGTTACAGCTGGTCAAAACATTAAAAAGAGTCAACAATATGGCTCATAACTGCTTGAAAGAGTAACCTTCTTCTCAGAGTTATTCATCAGTATTTCCTATATGGGGTATAATTATCCTACTGGAGTCAGTGCTGTGAGGCTTCAGCTGGAATAGTGTATTTGGGCTTAGGCAGCACTTTCAGAAAGTCACAGAAAAATAGCAGTGAGTGTGTCATGGTAGCTGTGATAATTTGGGGATACAAGAGAGCAAGTACTGCGAAAAGTAGCTGTGCTTTTATAATGCAAGTCAGGTAGCTGTGGAAGTGGAGGGAGTTGTTACAATCCTATGCTGGGGCATAGAAACATGTCCAAAAAAGGACTCGTGCCAAAAACCTCTGTTATCTCTCCCTACAAGTCAGAGGCAAACAAGAAAATCATATGTACAGGAAGAAGTCAAAGGAGTTTGGCCTTTTAAGTCCAGAAGAGAAACAGGGCAAATATAGTAATTTCCATATAAAATAAGACATGAACATGCAAGCTCTTTTTCTCCATAGCCAAGCTGCAGAGGATGGATAAAAAAATTAGCTGACACTGGAATGTTGATGAATGATGAAATACTCGGGGAAAAGGTGTCTAGAGCTGCTGTGTAATCATCTTCCCTATCCTTTAACCTTCAAATTGTGAACTAGATGGTCTACCTGGCCTCATTTCTGTGAGGAACCAGACTGGATCACACCTTGCAGTCTCCCCAGCCAGAGATATTCATATTGTGATCACTGACAGAATGATCTGCAACACTTGACTAAGCTGCTGTTTCTCATAAACTGAAAAGTTAAGCCCGGACTTATGGCAGTAGGGACATCATGCAGGCAAACACCTACCCTTGCCTTTTGCTTTTCTGCTTGGAGCTGGGCATCAATCTCTTCAGGACTTGTGTACTGTCTTGCTCGGCCTTTGTGGCCTCCTTTTCTACCTGTACAAAAAAATATATAAATTAATAAACGGCTTAGTGATAAGCTTCCAGAAGGGTCTACTCCTCCTGCAGCACTCTGTCTGGATTTTCAGTGCAGGTAGGATAAACCGAAATAGCTCCTCTGATAGAATCTAACAAAAAAAGGACACATTGAACTTGCCACTCTCAGTGAAACACTCCAAGAATTTTGGGTAAGTTACAGGGAGACTTGGGATTATTAATCCACAGAAAGGTACTCCAAGAATCAGTTCTTTCTTTCCCCTTGGGCTGTTTTGGGGGACACCAGAACTGAGAGCAGCCGATCAGCTGCAAAGTGTTTTCCAAATGAACCACAGGATTATTCTACAGAGAGGGAGCCAGGAAGGTACCCCCATCCCTCTACTATCGCAGAGCCGTGACACCAGTTATCAGGCAGCAAGCTTCCAAGTGCCCCCTCAGCTCTTGGTGACGCCACCCTTCCTCGCCCACCCATGCCTACGCTCGTGGCCTCTCTGATTCACTTCCCGGGCTGGCTCAGTCCCACAGCGTTTCCTGCACAGGAGGAATCACAGCATGTTCCTGCAGCAGCCACGGTCACAACCAGCTCTCTGACAAGCTTGCCTCCTTAACCCCTCCCCTACACTAAGGCTGTGCCAAGAGAAAATAGGAAGCTAATTGGACAAAAGCTTTGGGAATTATTACGAGAGCTGAAAAACTACTAAAAGGATCCTCCATGTTTTACTGTTATATAAGGAAAAATAAAAACAAACTCTAGGAACCAGCAAGAGGAGAGAGTCGGCTTAGCTGTCTGGATTGCCTGGCTAAGATCTGCTCTCAAGTTCAAAATTCTGTTGATTAATGAATTGCTGAAGCCATTAACACTTCCTGCAAGTGACGGCTCCATTTCTATTCTTACAGCTCAAAGAACTGTTGGAAAAGCAAAATGAATAGCCAGTCTCTAGCCCTGAGCTACAGAGCTCAAGGTACAACCGGTACACAAGATTTGCAAAAAGCAAAGGAGCTCTCTGCTACTGCAGGAGTCTTTGAAGTCCAACAGAAGGAGCAGGAAATCCTCACTGTCTCTTTTTCCCTCCCCGTTTCACCTGCTGAGGACAACAGAAACCTTACGGTGGCAGGGAGGGCTGAGGGGATTGTCCCTCCTTTGTTGGGACCACGCAGGATGCACGGCAGAGATCTGTCACTGCCGTGCTGGGCTGCACTGGGGGAACCTGGAGGGACAGGGAGCACCCGTGCAGGCAGCCTCTGTGGGCTGTGAGCTTTAGACATTCAGTATTTTCTGACCAGTCCTCCTGGCTCAGCAGAGACAAACTCTCATAGGTTTTAGCTCAATAAGAGCCAAGCTGTGGAATAAATTATCTCCAAAACCTCAATGTGAAACCTTACCAAAACTCCTAAGATGTTTTTCTCACGTGAAATAAAGAAGCGCAGAGACCAGATTCTTCTCTCTCCGCTCAGCCTGAGGAAGCCCGTGGGCACTCCAAGCATAAGCACAACCAAAAGCTTTGCTGTACTCAAAGATGTGTGTTTTATGTTTGTCTGTTCCCAACCACATGGTAACACTGACCCCCTTTGGGAACGAGATCTGCCGTGGGAGCAATGCTACCCCAGGAGACATTACCTCACTGCCCAGCAAATGTCATCACTCTGAATGGAACAACAGTAATATCCCTGACATGCTATGTAACAGCAGGAAAACCTAAATAAATCAAACCAACGCTGTGCTACAAGCTTAGCCGAGGCCAGGCAGCCTTCTTGTCCGGCTGGACTCAGAATTTTACACCAGGCTCAGAACTGAAGAACACAAAAGCCTCATTACTGCAAATTAACAGCAGTAATAACGGGGCAGAGCAACTCCAGAGAAATGATCTTACATGAAATGCCTAATGAAGGAGCAAATGGAAGAGTGAACCAATCCCGTTTATATTCGAGCCCGCACAGAGAGGGGTAAGGCCCCTTTGAGTGGGAGCAGCGGCTCAGCAGCTGGAGGGACTGCGGGAGCTCAAACCGCACATCCAACGAGCGGGGTGCGGGTCTCACTCCTGCCACCAACCTACTGCACGATTCCCTTCAGCTCCATGCCTCAGTTTCCCCATCTGTAAAGCAGGGATAACGATTCTCATCCTCTGTGAAGCACTTGTAAAATATATTCAACCTGCAGATTTCACCTGCAGCAGAGACCACGGGCACCTGAGGCAGGCACACTTTCAAATACATTTGTTTTCGGCTTTAAACAGCACAGTTAAGGAATCTGAATCAAAGAGAATGGAAGAATATTGAAGGAATCACTTTTTTTTTAAATCAAAGTATTCAAAAAATAATCCTGTAACAAAATTTATTGGGTAGTTAACCCCCCACGTTTTATATTAAACACTGAGTGCAAAAATCCACTCTTCTGCTAACAATACAATAACTCCTACTGACTTAGGGTGGGGGGAGGTGAGCAAGGATCCCTCTTTTCCCAAGAAGCAAAAGGTTTGAAACCAACATTTAAAACTGTACAGTGAAATACAGAGCAGGAAATCCTGAGTTGCGGGGCATTTAAATAAGGCCACCGGGGTTATAACCCACCACAGCTCTTTGCCTTCACAAAAAAATATTCAAAAGTTTCAGCCCTATCTACTAACATTGTGCAAATGGACACGAAATAAAATGCTTAAAGAAAGTCTAACTAGGGAAGCAGATTTGGTACTAAAGCTTGGGAAATGCTGATGAAATAAACTGGAGCAAACTACAAAGATGAATGACGAAGGCTGGTTTACATTAATGTATATGACTGGGGTTGCACAGACGCTCGCACAAGAGCCAATTATGCAGATGGTGCATCTGGAGAAGGTTCTGGGTGGATCCAGCTCAGTCCTGACACTCTGTCAGTCCCTCATTACTTCTCCTTATTCACACAAGCAAGTCAGTACCCGCTCGGTAATGCCCAGATGTGGAGCTGCTGGAGCCACATCAAAGGGGCCGCGTTTGAAGCCCCTGAACCAACGACAACCTCCATAACCCCCCCAGGGCCGGGCACCCCACCCCCGGCCTCTCGGATTCCCCATTCCCAGCCCCGAGGGTCCCCACCATTGACCCACTGGGATGGGAAAGCCATCAGCCCCTGCACACCGCCGGTGCCCCCTCCCCAAAACACCCCGTGTAGCTCCTCCCGGGGTGTCCGGGTACCCCAAGCTCTGCCCTGGGGGAACCGGTTGCAGTTTCCAACCCAGCGGGGAGCACATGGGGCCCAGTTCGCTCCCAGTCCCACAGTGTGTGTGTGGGAGGGGGGGGCCTGGAACCCCACGGCACCCCCAGGGGCTGCTGCGACCCCACGGCACTTATTTGGGGGGGTGGGCACAACAGGGGAGCGCCAGCTCTGCGAGAAACGTGGAGAATGTATCGTCTCTGCGGGGAGGGGAGCGCGGCTCCCCCCGAAGCCCTCGACGAGCGGTCTGAGGGAAACAACCGAGACCCTCCCCGCTGCCGCCGTCCCCGGGCTGACCCCCCCTCACACTCCAAGATAAGCGGGAAAAGAACCATTTTCCCCTTCCCAAGCTCCGCAATGCCGGGGAGAGCGGGGAAGGAGACCACCCCCTCAGACGTGAGGGCGGGAAACGACACACACACCCCCACACCCGCCCCGAACCCCCAAACCGGGGCCTCATCCCGCGCCTCATCCTGTGCCTGAGGGGCCTACACCCCCCCAGCCCCCTCCTCCTTCCTCTGCCACCCCCGGTGCTTCTGGCCGGGGCGAATCCCCCCGGCCCGGCCCCCACCTCCTTTCGGCATCGCGGCGGCGATGGCGGCTGCGGCAGCTGCAGCGAGGCCCCCCCGCGGCCCCGAGCGGCGACCCGGAACCGGAAACCGTCCCCCCTCCCCTCCCGGTGCTCCCCCCCCCCCGCCCGCTCCCGCCGCGGGGCTGCCCGTAACGCCGCCGCTCCCGCCACCCCTCCGTGTGTGTGTGTATTTCCTCCCCCCGGAGAGCGGGGCTGCTTCTCCAACCGATCGACCGCGCTCTCAGCCCTGCTCCGGTTAAGGCGGAGTGTGGGGGGGTGGGGGTGCGCACGGCGGTGTTTTCTTCAGGCACCGCGGCGGGCAGCCCAAAGGGGCGTGTCCACGGGAGGCCCCCGCGGGCGGTGGCGGCGCGGAAGCTGTGGCCCTCGGCGGGTGAGCGGCACCGGGGGTCGCACCCCCCCCCCCCCCCGGTACCGACACGGCACCAGCTCCGCGGGTCGCGCTGGGGGCGGCGGGGCTGCGCCTGGGGGCCTCGCCCGCGGTGTCAGTAGGAGCTGGCGGGAGTTGTTGCTTCAGGGTAGCTGCCCGGGGTGGGGGGAGGGGCGGCAGCCGTCTCGCTTTGCTGAGAGGAGGAAAAAGGAAACAAAAAAAAACCCAAAAAACCGATTTATTGTGGTGAGGTAGATGTCAGCGCTCACTGCAGCGCCTGTTGGTGTCCCCCAGTGCCACACTGGGCGAGATTCCACCTCCTTCACACGCTCCAGAAAGCTTATTTTCATCTTCGGGAGTGCTAAATGGCAAAGGGGCACCGAAATCTTAAGAGGAGTATTTCTAACAACTGTTTCCCTTTTTTTTTTTTTTTTTTTTTTTAATTCTTCCCCAGTGGTTTTCAGGGCCTTGAAGCAGCTGCACATCTGAGTGCTGGCAAGCACTTGTCCCCTTGCCTTTTGCCTCTCTTGTTTCTGCGGCGATGCCCAAGGTGAAGAGGAGCAGGAAGCCTCCCCCGGATGGCTGGGAGCTGATAGAGCCGACGCTGGATGAGCTGGATCAGAAAATGAGAGAAGGTAAGAGGCAGAGCCGGGTGTTCTCAGGGATTTGACCCCCAAAACATGGACATTCTTCACCGCTTCAGGAAGCACTGCTTCCTCCCCAAATACAGATCGACCTTTTTTATAGCTCAGCCTCACAGTGGTACCACAGTGTGACTGGGCCAGTACTGGTCGCTTTTTTCTGGGTGTCCACAGGCCACAGAGGTTTGGCGTGCAGTTGTTTTAGGGCACGCCGTGGCCGAGCCCCAGCTGAAGCTCACTGGTGTGCGTGGAAGGACTGGTAGTTCTTGTCCATGCTGTTGCTCTGGTCTGATGAGCCACGGCAGCTATGAAGTCACCCGCCATCCCAGTGCGGGTCATGTCATCCCCGCTCTCGTTCTGGTTTTATTTCATAAAGGAGCTGTTTCAGGTCAGGTCCCTTTCCTTTGTATCTTCCCCATTAAACTCAGTCTTATCTCTGTAAGGTATTAAAGTTATGAACGTTCTGGGATTGGTTTATTGCAAAGTAAGGAAAGAAGTTGGCCACTTGAAACCTGGTGTTTGTGTTCCCTCCCAGCGGAGACTGAGCCTCATGAAGGGAAGAGGAAAGTGGAATCCCTTTGGCCTATCTTTAGAATTCATCACCAGAAAACACGTTACATCTTTGATCTCTTTTATAAAAGAAAAGCTATCAGCAGAGGTGAGGAATGCAAATGCTTTACCCTGGGCAGGGGAAAACAGAACAGAGCAAAACATCCACCCATGGATGTGTCTGAACTGGGGCACTGGTGGGATCAGGTTTCTGGGGAGGGAGGATGGAGTGGAGGCTGGCAGCTGCCTGGCTTTAACTGCTAGTTACTACAGCTAGTAATTCCTGGTAGTGAGTCTTCTAACACTTCCTGGGAGCTACTTGTGATGGTGTCTGCTCCTCTACAGAGCTCTACGAGTACTGCATCAAGGAAGGATACGCTGACAAAAACCTGATTGCAAAGTGGAAGAAACAGGGTTACGAGAACCTCTGCTGCCTGCGGTGTATCCAGACACGGGACACCAACTTTGGAACCAACTGCATCTGCAGGGTCCCCAAAAGCAAGCTGGAAGTGGTAAGAGGTTTCAGCTTCCTCTGTGTGTCTGGACCCTTGCAGCACTCGGTCAACTTCTCCCAGGTCAGGGACTGCAGAGGAGGCAGTGCTGCTCCTCCTGATAATTTCCTCTAGTTCTAACGTTTTCTGTCTTTGCTGGCAGAGTTGGTATCTAGCGGGTTCTAAAGTTACTTTCAGCTTTGGCATGCAGTCATTTAAAGTCATTAAAGTATGGAAAACAACAGAAAATGGTCTGGTAGAAACCCTGCTCACACAGACCCGTTCTGTGCCTTGAGGCCCGAGCCTGCTGGTCTGTCTGCTCACGTAGCTTGGCTGAAATACCCTCCTTGTGTTTCTTTTCCAGGGAAGAATCATTGAATGCACTCACTGCGGATGCAGAGGCTGTTCTGGATGAAGCCTTTAGCCATAAGACTGCTTTCTGAACTCTGAGGGATATTATCCTACACAATGGACTATTAGTGCAGTTCTAGCCACCTTCTGTGTGATTGGATATTTCTGTATAGCAATTAAAATGGCAACATATTCTTCTGGATAATATATACAATGGTGGTTGTTTTGGAGTACGTTGCTGTGTAGCCATCTATTTTAAAATAAAGTCTGCCTCCTGAGAGTGTGGTACGATCTTCTGGCAAAACCCTTCTGTGCGCCTCTTCTCCTCTTAAATATGTTTTGGTTTGTTTGTCTGTTTGAAGGTTGTTCTATATACTGTGAGGAGTTCTAAATGCAAGCTGTTTTTCAACCAACTCTTATCCCTCCTTCTTAACTAACTGAATTTAAAAGGCTGCGTGGAAAGGAAATAATACAGATCTCAAACATCCAGTCTGATTCAAGCTCTCCCCTGATCTTGTGCAGAAGGAATCTAAATTTCACTGCAACTCCCTGCTAAGGTTTGTAACCTGGAATTTGTACATAAATCAATTCAGGGATGGCAGCAGCCTATACAGACTTACAGGTCACACGTTAAGTGCCCAGTTATGCACAGAACATAGGAAGGAGACAAAACCAGCAGAGTTCCACCACTGTCAAAGCTGAGTGTGGTTCTTCCTTATTTAGCACAGGGCTTGTTAAACTACAGCCAATCTCATCCTCTGCGTTTAAGAAAATGCCCTGAAAATGTATTTGCTTCTCCTCAAAACAAAGAACAAGCGTTTTATTATGTAGTTACTGTGAGAACTTGGGTTCATGGGAATACAAAGCAGCTTTAGCACAGGACATTTTATGGGAGCAAGTTCTTACAACACCAGGAAGATGCAGGACTTCAGTATCCTGCTCACTGCTACTTCTGCTCTGGCTGCTCCTGCACAGCCTTGTCCTTATTGTCCTCTACCGCACGTTTCACTGTTCTGTATTTTTCCCAGGGGTGGGGGGTCTCCTCTCCTGCCATTACTTTTAACCACCGATAGTAGTAGCCGCGGAAACCATCAATTTTCTCCAGGTATGGGTTCTTTGACTTATACTGCAAACAGAAACCCAACAAAACAAGTTTCTATTAGAAGAGAGCTCACTTCAATACCAGCATGCAATAGCTACGAGCTGCTACTAGAGAAACAGCTATCAACTGTCAGCCAGAAGAGATAGACCCAAAGGAAAAAAGGCGTAGGCAGACATATGTTTCCCCTCCTTTTTTGGTGTCCTGATGCCTTCACACTGTGACCGGTCGTGGCTACTTACCCTGTCAAATTTCGGAGGGTACTGTGCTGCGAACTCCAGCTGGCGTATGATAACTTCATTGGGAGGCACCTGGTTTTTCCTCATGTCTTGCAGGATCGCTGTGAGGTAAGTGTAATCCAGCTGCCTCACAGCAGCAGTAATGAGGGTGCTGTAGATATACTTGTTGGGAGTTACTCCAGACCTCTGGAAACAACAAAAGCTGCAGTTAAACTTGTTTATCTGCTGACTAGCACAGGACTCCTAGAAGGAAGAGGCATGCAGGCACTTCTCAGACAAAGGACAAAGCTGTCACTCTGGGACGTGTGTAGCAGCTTCTACGGTGTCAGCACACCTTCCCGTGAGCCCTCTCCTATCCCAGGTATAGGACAGGCCACCTGAGCTGGCACCTACTTTAGAGTTGTATGTTTTTGGAGTGAGGACACAACAACTCGCCACAGAAACCTCAGCACGTCTTTTTAGAAGCATTAATGCTTCACTCCGCCTCTTCCTACAGCTCAAACCCCAAGCAGCAGAGTTCATTACCTTCAAATCTGAGAGTAACTGCAGTCCATCCTTCGCTTGGTGGCAAGCGATTGCCAAGTTACAAAAGGTCTGGAGGTTAGGCGACAGCCCCCTCTTCACTAGAGCTGGCAGTATGCTCTGCAAAAGACAATTTTGACATCAATTTCCAAAAAGTCTCACCGTAGCCTTCCAGGCAGAGAGCAGAATGTGCTAAAACAGAATCCATAAATACTTAAAAATTAACAGAAGCACTGGCTTGTGGAAAACAGTGGGAGATCCCCAGTTTTGTGGAGAAACAGGTCTCACAGCAAAACACAGGTAACACTGGAGGCCTGAAACATGGAGGTGGTGACAGGGATGGTTCTGAGTTTTTTCTCACCATTGCTCCTTGCAGGTCTCTCTGTTTACTTTTCTTCCTTATTAAAGTGTTAAAGAAGGTCACATCTACTTTCACTTTATGCTCATCTAGGAGTGCCAGCAAAGAGGTCTCCGAGGGGCTTTGGGGTTCTACCAGCTCAGCCAGTAATGTAAACGTTTTAATGCTGGGTTCTGCATTGTCCTCCTTCATTTTATTCAAGAAGCCTTCCACGTCCCCCATCAAAGCCAGTCGATCAGACGGTGAGGCCACTTTCCCCAGGGAAACTGTCCCCCAGGCTCTGTCAGACATCCCAGAATCCAGCAAGTTGGGCAGGTTGTAGAAATGCTGCTTCTGGCTTAGGTGTGCTTCTTCCTGCTCCATCCCCTCCTGGTCTCTCCTCATCAATGCTCCAGTCCTGCTGTGAGCTATGCTTGGGCTGTCGAGATCAGCTTGTTCTGTTTCAGCCCGATCCACAGCTTTATTCTGTTTCCAGATCAGTTCTTCAGGCTGCACCGAACTCTCCCAAAATAATTGCTTTTCCATAGCTTCCACATCCAGCTGGACAGCAGCTGCACTCTCTGATCCCTTCTTCATCAGCTTCTTCACCTTTTCCTTCTGCCTCCCAGGTGCCAGCCTTAGCTGAGATGAGATCTCATTGGTGGGTCTGAGCAGGAGCTCAGAAGCCACGGCTGGATCACCTATTCCACAGTCTCTCGCAGCACGCAGCATCAAATTGTAAACGTGGCTGTCAGCCTTTATTCCAAGTTTAGTCATTTGTTTCCAAACCTGGAGAGGGGAAGATAAATGCCAAACATACGTGATATTAAACAACAGCGAGTGTTTCTAGTGAATTGTAAGCATATCTGTTAATGGTATCTGCTTGCAGAAAAGGAGGGAGTTCACAGCATTGCAAGGTGAGATGCCACTGGACAGCGAACAGCCACCTCAAGCTAGTACAGTCCTGTGAGATCATCCAGGGCAGTTCACCAGGGTACAAGACATCCTGATGGAAGTCTAGTTTACAGAATTTCTCCTAGGAGGAGCTGAACTACTCCTACTTCATCAGCTCTGAGCAACGTGCTGCCTTCTGTGCATTCAAGTGATGAGTTACTATAGAGGTGCTTGTTCCTCCCCACTCAGAATATGAAGACAAACCTGTAAGGCATATCGGAAGCCATTTTCACTGTCCTTTATGCAGCCCATGAGAAGGAAGCTGAAGGTCTCTGCTGTGAGAACATGGCCCTTGTGCACAATTTCCTAAAAGAGCAGAGAGAACATTAAACTTCCCAGTTACCCAAACAGTAGCAGCTGGCTATGAAGCTCAGATATTGCTGTTGTCTTCTGGAGATCCAGCAGCAACAAAGCATAGCATGAAATCCCAGTGATGCGAGGAGAATGATCACTCCAGGAGAAAGAGAGCCCTGAAACACCTGCATAGATCCTAGCTTCCCCATGACGGGAGCTACAGGAAATGTGGTGGCAGGAACAGCAACCCTTTTAGCTAGTCCCAGACTGGCCCTTCTGAGAAAAGCTGCAGTAAGAGCTCTTGGAGGAGCTAGGTATTAACATGTAGCTCTTCAAAACAAGGAATGGAGACAGACATAGTACCAGTGAACACCAAAATATTTTGTTCAGGAAGTCTTTAACACACCTGACCAGTTTTAAAGCCAACATCTGCAGCTGTCTCCTTTTATGTACTTTAAGCTTAATGTTTGGTACATACCAAGACGATTTCATTTTATGAAGCCAAGGATCAATGAAATCTAAACATGCGATCTGTAACTATGTCTGCTGGACATGAAATCAGAATTGCAGCATGGCAACTTCCAGAAGCTTCGACCAGAGCAGACTACACTTAATATGAGAAAAGTCAGGTATTTACCTTCAGTACATCAAAGCACATCCTGAGATCCGAGCACAGGGCACAAACCTTCAGCAGCGCGTGGTAGGTGATCAGGTTCAGCTCCTCATTTTTGCTCTTGAGCTGCTGTCGTAATTTGAGAGCGCTCTGCAGGCCCGAGTCTTTCCATGGCGATTCGGCACAGGCATTGAACAGGGCTGTGTAAGTGGCCTCGGTGGGAGTTAAGCCTCGTTTTTTCATCTAAGGGAAGAGAAGAATTATTTGAACTGGCTTTTTAGGAAAGGACTTCTACAACTTCTTAAGTGCTTCAGGCTAAGAAGGTGCAAACACTAACTCAAAGGTGTTTTGGAGACAAAGTAATGTGATCAAATGCTTAAACAGTTTTAGCTTAGAAAACATAACGAAGGTTTGAGAGAGGAGAATGTAAACCTACGTCATTGTAGAGCCTGAATGCCTTTTTCACGTAGCCAACCCTGCCGCAGCCGCCAATTAGAACAGTATAATTGCTTTCTTCTGGCTGCACACGCTCTTCTTTCAGCATCTGCACCTCAAACAGCTCCAGAGCCTCTGCCAGCTACAGCGAAGAGGAAAATCCACGATGAAGCAGCAAGAGAATCACTTACAATGGATATGAATATATACAGCTGTGGGCAGGTTGTGGTAGAAGTCCTACAGAGCACAAGATTCCTCACAGATTCTTACCTTACTTCTTTCTGTAAAGATACTAAGGGATAAGATAATACAGATGGGACAGAGTTGCAGAGCTGCATCTTTCATCAATGCTATTATAAAACAAATAAGCAAAGAGCTGGGAACAAACCTTGTCATCTTTAATGAGGGCCTTGCATTTTAAGAAGTACCAGTACGGGGTGTTCTTAGGGCCACGTGGAGGTTTTCTTTCTGGTTCTTCCCTTCCCTCTTCTTGAAGCATCAAATTATGAAAGCGCGATGTGGTTTTGTGATAGTATTTTCTAGAAGAAAATTTACTAGACAGCGTCCCGAACTCCACGCCTTCATCTTCGTCCTCCTCACCAACAGCTTCAGCGCTGCTGCCAGCACCGGCCTCCCCCGGGTCGCTCGCGGGCAGCTTGCAGAACGAGCGGGACGGCCTCCAGCCCGGCTGCGGGGGCGGGAGCAGGCGGGGCGCCTTCCCGGGGGCTGCCCAGCGGCACAGCGGGGCGAGGAGCCGCATGAATCTCATACCGTGGCTACCGGGAAGGGTACCGGGACCAGTGAAAGGGGGGGGGTGTGTGTGCTGTGTGTCACGGCCCCCCCCCCTCAGCCGCGCGCCTGCGCGGGCGGAAGGGGCGTGCCCGCCGCGCTGTGATTGGCAGAGCCGGGCCGGGCGGCCGGGGTGAGGGGTGGCTCCCGGCATTCCGCGGGCGGGCGGCGCGGGGCGGCGGGAGCTGCCGCCGCCGCCTCCGCTCTCCTCAGGCGCTGCCGGCGCGGAGCGGAGCGGGCCGGGCCGGGCCACCCCGGGCCCGGCCGCCCGCTGGCCCCCCCCTCCCCTCCTCCTCCTCATCCTCTTCCTCCTTTTCCTCCACCACCGCCACCATACCGCCGCTTCCCTCCCGCTGCCGCCGCCCCCCAGCCGCCACCATGCAGGAGCTCATCGCCAGCGTGGACCACATCAAGTTCGACCTGGAGCTGGCTGTGGAGCAGCAGCTGGGGGCGCAGCCGTTGCCTTTCCCCGGCATGGACAGTGCGTGCGGGCACCGGGCGTCTGCGCGGATCTCTCCTCCCCCCCGGGGATTGCTCTCGTCCCCTGTCCGTGGGGCTGGGGGGGCTCTGTCGGGGAGGGTGTGTAGTGTGTTTGGGTGGTTTGCCGGAGGCTTGAGCGCCTCGTTCAGGCCTTACCCGCCCAACTTCTGCTTTCCCTGCGAGGTTTCTGTCTTAATCTGGATGTTTTTCTTTCCTACTTAATGAAAGCTGTAGTTAGTACCCAGCCAGGCTGGAAAATGAAAGTTGGGGTAGCATCATGAATAAACATACCTTCCTGCACGGTACTTTATTATTTTTTTTAATTCCCTTTTGATTGATGAGCTGTTTAGATGGCAGGGAGACTTCATCTTTCAGTATATCTGTGGCCTGGTCTCTAAACTTTTTCCTCAGATGCAAGTAATCTTAGGAGACTTGTAGTTTGCTGAAATATTCTGGCTGAGCTCTCAAACTTGAGTTTTAACTCCCTTGAACGTGGTTGCTGTTGGTCGGAATCAGCAAGGGATAACACAATAAGGGTTGTTTCAGGCTGTTCTGGTCAAAAAAATATAAGTCGTTGCCAGGACTGAAAATACAGGGTTCGCTGACATGATTGTTGTAACAGCAGAGGAAAATCCAGTCAATAAAACCTAAATATCTGAAAAGCAAAACAAGCACCACCAAACCTCTGCAAATTCCCTTTGGTGTCCCCCAAGATGAAAACTGGTATTTGTGAGGGCCAGACTTGAACAAGGAACTTATGTGGGGTAGTGATTTCCCCAAACCAAAGCACCGCTTTTCTTTTGATGTTGAGGACCAAGTTGTCTTTCTGGGAAGGGAAATATTTTAAAAGTTGTCACGAAGCTTTGTTGATTATGTTTCTCTGTTCTGTTTACAGAATCAGGAGCAGCTGTCTGTGAATTTTTTTTAAAAGCAGCCTGTGGAAAAGGCAAGTAATAGTTCCAATACAATTATACTCATGGAGGTGGAGGCGGAAAACTAAATTTGCTAGCACTGTCTACAGTACTCTTTATTTTTTGTAGAGATGAGAGGATGACCTAGATAAAGAATAAAAACTGAAGGATGTTGGAGTAACTGCAGCAATTGTGAAATAGTATTTTTTTAAGAAGTTGGGGGGTGAATAAGCAAAACTACTGGTAAAAGAAAGCTTGAACTTACCACAGACCTTGCTGAGAATGTGACTGTTTTAGTTGCTGTGGTTCATGGTTGCCAGGGTTAAGAGCTGGAGACTATATTGCTTAGCTCGTTAGAGGCTAACATAAGACTTGTCTGGAACTCCCTGTTTTCCTATTGCCACTAAAGACTAAATTCATTAAAAAAAAAAAAACGATGTCTTCTGAAACACTTCTTGCAGAGGGGAACAAAGTGTTGCTGTTGCCCTGTGCCTTCTTGTGCTGCATATTTTAATTGCTCTTTTTATCCTTCTCCTTGCCCCATCCTTCTGCAGGTGGTATGTGCCCGTTCCGACACATCAGTGGGGAAAAGACAGTTGTTTGCAAACACTGGCTACGAGGACTGTGCAAAAAGGGAGACCAATGCGAATTTCTGCATGAGTACGACATGACCAAGATGCCTGAGTGTTACTTCTACTCCAAATTTGGTAAGGGAAGTTGTAGCTCCTACTCAGAGTTCCTTCCTGGTGTGGGAGTCTGGTGAAGAGGATCCTGGTACATCCCTCTGATCCACCTTTGGAGCATTACAGTTCTTCTGCGTCTGATGATGTTGTTAGATTGTAATTTTTCAGATCTGCTTAGTCCTTCATCTTATCCCCCTAAATTTGTGACATATTGTAGATGTCTTCTCTCTCAAGAGCTTGTCCCTTAGGGGAAGAGGGGGGAAGTTCAAGTTTTTACTGGGTTTTATGCCTTATGTTCATTTTGGGTATGAGATGAGTAGGCTGAGCAGTTGGTCTTTGCATGACTCTTATTTTGGGGAGTTGATGAGAAGCAGAGGGCATGGGGGTGCAAAACTTTTATGCACTTGCTTTCCAGCTCTGGAGATCTGGACATAATGAGGCAACTTGCTGTCAGAAACCTACAGTCTTGTAGGTTTTCTTGGATTGAGGTTAGTGCGCAATTTGTAGTTTCTCCACACTTCTGGTGCACTAAATGTTTGGTTTTGTTATCATGACTGCTCTTTCAAATTTAGTTTCCGCATTTTTTTTTTAAAAGCACACATGAATATTCCAGTCTGATAGAACTTGACTCACCAGGGGTGAGTCCTTGGTGTTCTTCATCTAGGTTAAGGCAGGCAGCAAGACTGTTCTGCCCAAACTTGTAGATGTTGGTAACAGCTTTGTGGGAGCTACATGATCCAGGTAATATTTTGAGAATCGTTTCATCTCGAACCTGCACAGTTGACTAAAAAGTGTGTTTGCCTTTGGTACAGGGGAATGCAGTAACAAAGAATGTCCGTTCTTGCACATTGACCCGGAGTCTAAGATCAAAGACTGTCCCTGGTATGACAGAGGCTTCTGTAAACATGGTATGTATGTTGCATGGTTACTGCTTCTGTGGCTATAAATCAAGGGTAGGGTGTTGCTATCATTTCTTTGCATGATCTGCTTGTGTACCTGCTACTACTGAGTGCTGGGGTATGTATATGTGGAATGTGAACTGCTGAGCTTTGTGTTGCAGGTCCCCTCTGCAGACACCGACACACTCGAAGAGTCATTTGCGTGAATTACCTAGTAGGATTCTGTCCAGAGGGGCCTACCTGTAAATTCATGCAGTAAGTATGCTTCCAGGCTTGTCCTGTAATCTTGTGTTTCCCTTGTAATCTGATGTGTGCCAAATGAGGGTGCTCCAGTGCTCCCCAGTGTTTAGTTTGTTGTACCCATTTGAGGATATGGGGCAGGGTCTCTTCAGGGAGTTGCCAATAAGACTTTGGAGTGGTGATCAGATGCCATCGGTGCAGCAGGATCACATGGGGTTTATATTCCAGAAGACTTCAGAAGTAGAGGGATATATTCCATACTGGATTGTCATTTTTGTGTACGTAATTGCTGAACATCAGAATGCGAAGAGAAGTGGGGAGGGGGAGACCTATTTCCCATGAACTAAATTTAATGGGCTGATTGTTTCTTTAGATGTTTGGAGTTACTCGAGTGATCTGATGGTAAAATGTTGGCATATGATTTGAGAATCCATTTTCTTGTTTCCATCCAAACCAGCCCTCGTTTTGAACTGCCAATGGGAACCACAGAGCAACCACCACTGCCTCAACCAACACAAACACAGCAAAAGGTACACAATTCCCCTGCCTCCCCTCCACACCCACCCTCAAAGCATTTCCTGCAGGGCTTTAAAAGAGGGTATACTGTTGGTCAAAACTGGACACCTGGGCTCTTATATCTGGCTTGGTGGAAAGCCTTGGAGAATGAATGAGGGAAAACCATTCCTATTTTACAACAGGGTGTGATATCCTTTTGTAATTAAGAACTTGGAGACAAGCCCTAATAAACAGCAAAGCGCTGTCCCTTCTCTCCCCTCCTCCCAGCCCTCCAGTGTCCACCATCTGATCACAACGGACTGCTGCCTTTGTCCTGGGACCTTGGTGTTTTATTTTGTTCTGTCTCTCCCCTCGCCTTGGTTAACCCCCTCAGTCGTTCGTACTGTCCTCCGGCTCGGAGGGCAGCAGTGGCAGTTTGGTTGCCTGGGGTGCTGCACGGAAGGGAGGGTGCTATGAAGGGGTGAGGAACCCTGAGTACCATAGTGATGAAAGCCCTGCAGTTCCTCCAACTTCACCTGGAGACCTAGTCACAGAACACTTCCACGTTACATAGAAGCACATCATATGTGGTCGTGCAGCAGTCTGCCAGTTTTTGTAATCTGCGTGACGTCTCTCAGTGATGGCAACTACATTTTAGCAGCCTAAACCTGTTCTCTAAATCTGCTTTCTAGAGAAAAGCAGAATCTCTGGACTTTGTAAGCCTTAGTGCTTGATTTCTTCTCTCTAGTGCTCCATCTGGCAGAGCACCCCCCCCAGATTTGGAGGAAAATTGATAATTTGGTATATGGGGTGCTCTTTTTTCCTTCTTAACAAACCAACAACCATAAAGGTCTTTATCCTCGATGCACTTAACGAGTCAGAACTCTTCTCCTAACCAACAGAGGACACCCCAAGTCATCGGAGTCATGCAGTCTCAAAATAACAACACTGGGAACAGAGGACCCCGGCCATTGGAACAGGTCACCTGCTACAAGGTAATTCAGAGGGGAGGGATGAGGAGGGAAGGCAGAGGGTGCTAGATTTAAGAAGCACAGTGTGCATATCACCTGGGTTACATCATGCTGCTTTACTGCTGGTTGCTTGTCACAAGCAAAGCAGCAGATTGTTGTGATGTGGGGTGTTGGTCCTGCAAAAAGTTTTTTTTCACAGGTTCAGGAATTGTGCTCTCTGCTCAATATACATTGTGTTTTGGTGCGTGGGTACAGCTGTGGGAATTAGCATTGAGTCCTGAGACCTCTAGGTTTGCTAGCTCATGGACTTGCTGTGACAATTAAGACAGACTTTGCCTGTCAGTAATTAACTGGAAACCCTCACAATGACAGTTAAAGGAGGCTGCCGAACTGTACCTTTCAAAGTAAGAGTTAATATTAGTTTTGTCTCATGAGTTCATTTGCCCACACTTTGCGACTGTAGAAAGATTTTCTTTTCCCCTGTTAGCCTGGAAGGTCCTTGCAAGTAACAGAATTGAATAGGCAAAAACTGTTCAGTATTTCAGCTGCAAAAGCACCCTGTTGCTGTCAAACCAAGGAATAAGCTATTCACTTTGATTGCTTAGTGAGGAGCACCAGTAAAACTTTGACACAATTGTGTTTCCATCTCCATTTATTTTTCCACAAAAGCCCCAACTAAAACCAGTCGAAAAGGGCAGAGAATATTCCTGTCCCCCATCAGCTTGGACAGTTAAATCTCTGTACATGGCAGCTGCTGTGCCTTAGGTGCCTGTTTGGATAAGAATTACTGAGATTGGACAGGGATATTAAGTAGCTGAACCCGTTTCACTGAAAACCTTTAATAGCTGCAAGTAAATCTTGTATCTGGAGTATGCTGTTGCACCAGATACTGGCATTTCTCTCTGGTTTTGGAACATCTTCAAGGTGTAAAGTCATGAATCTCTCGTTCAGCTGCACTTTTCTTGGTCTAATTCAGGATAGCCCATCAGGACGGTCCCCACAGCTCTCTGAGGTAGTGCACATCAGATGGAGTGGTCTTGGGAGCCTCTAATGTTGAAATTCTCCTTGTGTGTTACAGCCCTCCAGTGTTCACAGTTGTGTGCTGAGAGCCTTCTCCTTTGTAGTGTGTTATAATAACATGGCATCAGGTTGCTTCCAGCACAGAAGCAGCTTTTGCTCCAAGGAGTGGCAACAGTCCATAAATTGTGTCCTTCGTGACACCGTGTTTCACTTCATCTGCTGAATGCTGCATCTTCCATACACGGGAAAGCTTCCGAATCGGAACAGTTGCTGGCTACCTCAATAAAGGCAGCTAGAGGTGAAAAGCTGTAACTGTGTAATAATTCTGCTCTCTCTTTCTCTTTTAGTGCGGTGAAAAAGGTCATTATGCCAACAGATGCACCAAAGGACATCTGGCCTTTCTCAGTGGGCAGTGAAAGAGCAGAACGAAGAGTGCAAGGGAGCTATTAACACTGAGAAAAGGTTTCTGCCTAGCACTATGTCTTGAACTATTAATCAGGTTGTTTTTTAATGCCATTACTGAAAGAACTGGTCAGAGGCTGGCTGCTGCTAAGCAACATTTTTGTAATTGTCCACAACTTTTTTTATGTTTTAACCTTTTTAAAATAGATTTTGGCCTCTGCCTATTTTCATTGAGCCCTGCTGTGAAAGGTAGATCATAAAGTCAGTAGATATGCAAACCCCTCACCGGTGCAGCACTCTACGTAAACACATCTTTACGCCAGTGTTTCTTTAAAGTGTTTTCCTTCTGCCACCTCTCTTTGGAGAACCTGCAGCATTTCAGCCCTCCCTGTGGAAGCAGGAAGACTGACTGGGAAAACTAATACTTGAAATGCCTTCCCTTCAGTGAGGGAGCAGGGATTCTGCTGTCCTGTAGCTCTTAAAAAGCAAAGTCTTGTTCCCAGGTCCAGCCTGTTGTAGTTGGTAAGCTTGTCCTGGTGGCTGACTTAACCTGTCACATACACCAGGCTGTAAAGCTCTCGTCCACTTGCTTTGTTTCTGTGCTTCTTGCTAAACTGAAGGTTAGAAATTAATCTTCTGGGTGAGAACCGATCAAGGGGAGAATAAATTGGCATCTCTGTGGTTAGTCAAACAATGAGGAACAGCGATTGTAGGAAAGCTGCATCTGTGCTCATTTTCAATCTGCAAAAAGCTAGGAGGGAAATGAACACGGCCTGAAGAGTAGGAATAGAAGAGCCTTGTCTCAGCCCCCGCATCGTCCAGCTCACACTGAGCAGGTATTTCCATAGCCTAGAGAAGACCAAGAAGTGGAGATGTATATTCTTACGGAACACTGCTTTTAAAAGTGGTAGAGCATTCTTCTGAAAGTTTTTGAAAGCCAAACCTCCCATTCATTTTGTGAGAAGACTATTTCAAAAGGGCCAATGATAAAATGTGAATTAAAAAAAAAAAAATTGCACCTACAATGTGAGCCTTATTGATTCTAACCCATCTTTCATTTGCTGACTGCCTTTATACTTCTGTTTTTATTGAAATGTACTGATGGAAAAAGCTGGCTGTGAATTTTCCTTTTTTTAAGAACGAGGTGATATGACTAGATTAAGAGAAGTGACCAGAGCCTGTGCTGGTTTGAATGACTGCTGTTATTTTACTGTGGAGAGTTAGTCAGTGAAAATCTAAGTTTCAAGTCTAAGTGATGATGGTATGACAGGCCATCAGACGCTTTTTTAACAGATTGTGCCTCCAGAGGCTGAGCAGGGGCCAAACTGTGAGACGTGCTATCTGCATCTGACTAGGCACATGGAAAGGGAACTGAAATACTTTGGTGTCTGGCTACCTGAACAGATGTTTTCCAAAACTGAAAGCCTTCCTGTTACCACTGAATTCTTCATATCCCTTAAGAAGTGGTGTTTACTCTCCCTCCTGTTCTGAAAAGGATACCGCAGGTATCCTATTTACCTGCAGTGCCCAGCTGTGGTTACAAGTGCTGCTGGTCGTGTTGTGACAGTGGGATGCACTTGCTGAGTGGGGTGCGTGAGGAAGGTCATGGGCTGGGGCCAGACCCACAGATGCTCCTTTAAGCTGCACTTGTGCACATACTGTCTCCTGTTAAACATTTGAGTCAAGAAGCAAAGCTTTCCTTCAGTTTAACTTCATGTTACATGAAAGGTCTTTTAAGCTTATACCCATTCAGAATAACCTTCCAGCTTCTTTTAGCAATGAATGTTCAATGGTAGAAAATCTGGGTTAGCAGAGGCAAGAAGCATTACAATCCCAGTGACAGAATGAGTTGCAGACCTCCTTATAGCTACACTGATCTCATCTCAGACCATGCTTTGCGATGGTGGAAAACTGCCCAAATAACTACAGTCCCCGGGTGAGTGTGACTGAGAATCAGAAACACGTGGCGGTACCAAGCAGCTACCTCCAGCTCAGATACTGTTCTTTTAAATCAAAATATGTCCTTTCAGCTAATTGTCCAACGTGCACATAATAGCCATTAAGAAGCAATCCAATCCTTTTTACTTTTATCAGTTAAATAGTAATTAGTTGTAAGTTTCCCCAGTTCGTAGTACAACCTAAGTAGCAGCTGCTTTCCCAATAATCTCTGAACTTATCCTTGAGGGGTGAAACTCTAAGACAACAAACTCGCAGAGTACAATTAACAAGTCAGTTATGAGAGTTTCAGCTCAGTAAGTGTAAAGTGTATGCACTTTATTATTGGTCATAATAGTACAGATTTTAATATGAGTAGTCTTGATGTCTTCTGTCAGGATAACTGTTCCAGTAGCCAAGTCTTTTCAAGAGCTGTACCTTCACTTTCTGAAATACACATTTCAGTGGTACTTCCTGTGGCGGTCATGCTCTGTACCATTGAAAGTAAAGCAAGTTAATTTTACTGAAGTCACCAGAAAAAAAACACACTTGAAATTACAAGAAAGCAAGCGCTCTTAAATCCAAGTTTGTAGTTTCTAAGTATTGTCAGGTCAGACAGGCAACAAGATTTAAGTTTTCTTCACTGCCAAGAAAATATCAGCCATCTGATAACTTGCTAAGTAAACATTTGAGTTTTATGTGGCTAAAAAGTTTGCTTGCCCACAGCCTCAGACTCAAGCAGCAATGGTTAGCAGTCTTTATTTTTAAAAGCAGCAGCAGATTGTTTTTACTGCCCCATGCAATCTTCCAAGCTGCACTATAGACACTCGGCCATACTGCTTTTACTTACTCAGGTGACTGTAGCTCCAGATGTAGCTGACAACAACGTAACTGGCAATCAGCATGGAGACACCACCAAGCCCCCCTTTCTTGACATTGATATATTTATTGTAGTATCTGTCGTAACCTGTGTAGGAGAAAAAGTTTTCATAGCAGCCAGATGAGTTGTGTATTTTTCTCTCAGAAGCAGCAGCCCAGTTTCACAGAACTTCAGGAAATTGTTTCTGATGAAACATCTGAGGGTCTCTGAGTAAGTCGGAGAGAAGGCAACCTGTGTGTTAGCTAAGCAAGTTGAACTCAAGTTAATAGCGCTAAGCTTTTGGAAAAAAAAAAAAAAGGAACACCCTCCCCCGCCCCCATTTATCATTTTTCCCTAAACATTATTCTTTCATGAGCTCAAGGTGCTTTGGAATTATCTGATTCTTTCATACTAGTATATATTCATGATGTAGACACTTGCATTTGATATTTTGTGTTTGAATCTACCTGAATGCCGTATCTGTATCTATACCAAAGGGCATCAGTCAAAACTTTTGCCAAGTGATCTATACAAGCCCTTCATCCTTTCTTACCACCTTTAAGGATCAATTGTTTTGTTTGTTTGTTTGTTTGTTTGTTTGTTTGTTTTTTTAAATTTACTTGGGATGCTGGGAAACCTCAAGACTTTCAGCAACTAGGTTCAGGAGTCAGGTCACCATTTTTCCTGTTTATACGAGAAGGAATACTGAAAACAAACCTCTGGTGGATAAAGCCCATGTGAGGCAATATTTACATCTGGGGGAACGAGACGCTATAGAAGGTCCCGTTTTGGGTAAGCAAAAATCGCCCCTCCAGTGCCGGCTCCCCCGTGCCACAGCCAACATCCCCTGCAGCTGCCAGAGATGCTGATGCACTGATCTGCCCCGGCTCCCTCCCGGAGATTCGGGCAGATCAGTGCAGATCAGAGGTTCGCACCCTCCAGGTCTTCGCCGGACAAGAAGGGCGCGGAGCTGTGTGCGCAGGATGGGCAGCCCCGCCGCGGGCCCCCCCCCCTCACCTCTTCGCACGGCCCCCAAGATGCCCCCGGGGGTGAAGTCTCTCATGGCCAGCCAGGTGGGCAGCTGGCCCAGCTTCACGTCCAGCAGCTTCATGTCCTTGAGGGGAACTGCGGCACAGAGAGAGACAGCCCGGTCAGAGGGGAAGAGGGGGAGGGAGGGAGCCGCGGTCACCTTGGTCGCACTCACCCGGCGGCTGCGCCATCTTGCCGCTGCTGCTGTGGGGAGGCGGGAAGGGGCGGGCCGCTGAGGCTCATGGGAGGAAGGGCAGGCGGGAACCCGGATGTTGGGGCGGGTGGTGAAGAACTGGCGCCATGTTGGGCGTGTCCGGCCGAGGAGGGTGTCGCCTTGTCCCCGTCCCATCGCCTCACCCTAGGGGGCTCGGGTCCCCAACGGTTCTGCACACGCTGCCTCAGTTACCGCAGGCACTGCATTGAGGTGTGCGCACTCCTGCCACCATGGTGGCCTGTCACGGTTCGGGGGGCACAGCCTGAGGGGTTTTCCCTCCTTGTCTCGCTCCAGCACATCCCCTCAGGGGCTGAGTCCCTTTGCAGGGGACGTTGGCCCTGTGCAGGGTGTCCCCAGGGCAGGCCAGCGCTTTCCACTGCCCCCGCCTTAACGTTGTGGGGTGTTGGGTGCCAGCACTCGCCAGCGCTGCAGATTGTGAGAAAATAGCAGAGAGGGAAAAATTCACAAGTCTTCGTCAGCATCGTCACAAGACTTCATGAGCAGTCTTTTGGGGGCTGCTTATGTCCCACAAATTAACCTTTTTCAGTGCGTTCTGAGGAAGTTGCAACTCTTAACACTGTAAATGTGCCTTCACAGATAGTATATACTGCGACATACCTTTAAATTTGGATTCATATGTTGTCATGTAAGAAGTGAGGGCTCCTCAGACACCTTCCAGGGGTCACCTACCATCTCCTGCAGTCTTCTTAGGTGGTTGCAAGGCAGGAGGAGAAATGTTAGACTGTATTTTTCACAGGGATTAGGTGACAGATTAATAATGTATTGTGTGGTTCCATTTCAGTGCCCACTCAGGACTTTTCCCTGTGGGAATATGCTGCATTTTACTACAGCTCCTCTGGAAAGATGTCAAAGGCAAAAGGAGAGGCCTGTCCTCGGTATGAGGTGGCAGTAAATCTGCATAACCAGTGGTGGAAGAGGTAATGTGCGGATAAAGACAACTTTCACCTTCCTGCAAATAAGAAAGAGCCATTTCATGTTCCCAAGTGTCTTTCTGGGGGATTTAGTGCAAACAGGCCCCCAGAAGGTCCACCCTGGGCAGGTGAGGCACATGCAGAGGTGGCGGTGGTGGGACAGGGGTAGGTTAGCAGGGAGAAGACTCCAGCAGGTGTCACTCGCAGTTAGCAGAATGCAGCGACCGGGAAGATGCTCTCCATGAGCCTGACCTCTAGAGGCTTTAAATCGGTATCATTCAGATTCATAAAATAGTGTCAGGTTTTGTTGTTGTTTATCGTGCTGAATCTGAAAAGCAAAGCGATACAGCAGTGAACAGGGAGCAGCCATCCACTGCTGTTTCTGACAGGTCAGCCCGGACCCTGGATTTCCTAGATGTTAAATCTCCATCCCACAGAGGACTGTTGGAGTGGATCAGAGATGATGAAGACTAAATTAAGGACACTGAAGAGGGCCCACAGGGCTCCCACATAGACACTGAGCTACTAATCTCTGCAGCTTTAACTTCTCTTAGGTTGCAGAGTCTTATTTCACTTGCCTCCCTCCTACCATGGCAGGATCCTTGCGTTATAGTCTGTAGGGTTTGTGTTACTTGGTATTAGATGAGTTGAGGTGTGGTACTCTATAACTCATTTTACTCAAAGGCTGGTCTACATGTCTAGCTTCAGCCTCTATTTTACTAAAATTAATTTATTTACATCCAGTAGTGCTCTCCCATAAAATAAAAAGCAGAAGGAATAGATTACTGCCTAATTTTTTCTTTTACTTATTAACAGAAAGTAGGATTAGGAAAGTACACTGTGCCTGATTGCTTGAAGAAAGGGTTCCAAATTTAGACCCTGTTAACTGGGTTAAAAGACCCCTTATTAAATTATCCTTTATTTTATTATTGGACTTTACTGGTAACTGTCATCTTATTGCCAAAGTGTCCCCTGATGAACTACTATGTGGCCTTTTTACAGTTCTTGCATAAAAGTATGCTTCATACTTGCTTCCCTCATTCTTGCAAGGCAACCTATTGTTTTAAATAGGATTACTCATGCAAGGCACATTAATTCACCTACAGGAAAAAAAAAAAACCACAATAGCAGGTGCCTCATTTTAAGAAGTTCCCTGAAGAGCAGAAGAGTGCATAGAGTTGCTCAAACTCCTTAGAGCAAGGTCTGGGGAAATTTGGTTTGTTAAGGTAGGAATGGAAGTCCATAACAAGGATACATCTCTGGTGCAATTAGGAACAGCAGTGATCTAAACCTTGGCCTGAACTGCCCGCTCTGGTAGAGTAAGAGAGGAATACTGCTCTTGTCTTTATGCCATCTTAAAACCAAGCAGGAAGAATTAAATGGTGCAGATATACAGGAGGTTTTGCAGCACACGTTTCCTCCCTTTGACCCATGGTGCTGGCCAAAATTCAGGGTCTTGTTGTTTGATCCAGATGGGAGGAGGAGTGATGAAGAAAGGTATTTCTGATGTATTCCTGTTTGCTTACAGGAATGCTCACAGCTCTTCTTTCCTGAACACAGAAGAAATCACACAATTGAGAGCCGGTTTCCTTGCTTCAGACATGCTCCAGGCAGCAATGTAACCCCAAATTCCTCTGTTTCTTGTATTCAGTCCAGGTTTTATATCAATGATTGTTCAGGCTCTTTGAAGTTTCCGTTCCCTGCCTGTTTCAATCTGCTGTCTTTCTGTCTCCGCCTCCACCTAAACTGTATTGTCCATCCACACATAACCTTCTTTCCTTTTAGTATCCTATCCAAAACTGTCCACCCAGAGCCTTCAGGTACTTGAGCAATCTTGCATTGTGGGTGGAAATAGACTTAATGTCTCCTTCAGCTACCCTAAATAAAGGAACGCAGTTAAACCTACCAGTTTCAAGAAGGTTTAACCCAATCTATAAAAATAAAAGCCTAATGGAGTGTTGCCCTGAGGTTTTCATCTTACCGAAGACCCTTCTAGAAAATGCTGTGAAGTTTATAAGTAATGGCATAGAAATAATAGGGAGTACGTAATTCAAAAAACCCCGAGTGTTTTGCAAAGGACGTCAATAGATACGAAAGAGGTTTCCTCTTTCTGGTAGCAACCATAACACATACTATTGCAGCTTTCAGTCCAAAGATTCAGTTGTGGCCTGAAAAGTTAAGTAACACTTTTCACTAAAGCTGCTGAAAAAGAGAAGTAAAAAGCATAACATAACCCCCCTCAGACTGTAAGATCTTATAGGCTGAGATTGTTTTTTCTGTTCTCTGTGTCACCCTTTGAAAACTCAGGGTCTCACCTGGGCCTGGTGGCCAGCGATACTATAGTAATATGCAGACACAGTGTCCACAGGTGTGTAAAGTAGCACAGAGTGGCCTTCAAGGTCAAGAGACAAGGATTTACCTAACTGATCCTGTGCCCACTGAAAGTGATGACAAAGCACTCAGTGCTTTTAGTAAAGGATCAAACCTACACAAATGGACAGATAACGGTTCCGAAACATGCAGTTTGCCATAGGATGCTTCTTGGCTCCTAAACACTTATTTCAGTTTGATGTCTTCCCACCAGCACAGATTAAGCGGCTGCAGCCATCAAGAGGAAAGAGAAATCATGGGCTACCAGCACTTTCAGGAGAGACACAATAGAGAGACACATGTTTTATCAATCAGTAATTTGTAGAAAAGTTGTGGTCCCAGGTAGCTTGATCCAGTCTGTTATTTTTTAATTGTATGAACAGTTTGGGCAGGGCAGCTGCTCAGCATAGGTCTCAACCTCATTCATCTAAAATTGTGCTTACAGTGGAAACCAGACTCCCACGTTGAATGGGATGAGAAAAGGGTGTGGAGTTTGGAATCTCTTCCATGGCCAGACTTCCTCAGGAAAATGGTGATTGCCTTGCATAGATAATAATACCTAGGGATTGACCCAGCAAAAGAAGCTGAGAGAATTAACCTATGATTGTAAGGGGATTGCTTGTTCTGTGTTATTACAGAGCCATTTTCCTTAGTCAACCTCAAAACACTTTACAAAGGAGATCACTTAACAGTGATTAATAGTTTAGCATGTACATAGATCTTTCCTCCTTCACAGCACTTGAGTATCGGTGCATCTTCATGCTCCTCTGATAAAACGTGTAAGTTAATGTTATGATTATCTTTTCAAGTGGAGAAATTTGAACCCTGTTTTTAGGATTGCAGAGGGGGAGTTCGTCCCTCCTCCTTTGGTTCCATCTTGCTGGCCTTTGCTTGTATCTAGTGTCAGTTGCAAAAGTATCTTATTTTGTAGGTCTTTGATCAGCCTGCTGGTTAGCTAAATATATACCTGTGGGGAGATAATTACATGCTATCAGTAGTAAAGTGTAGTAAAATAATTTACGTTAATTAAAACACTTGCAAAACCAAAGCAGGAATTTTCACTAAGATAAGCCTGCTGCAGCAACAGCTGTATCTGAGACTGCTTGCTTCCCATAGACAAACATGAAAATAAAACCAGGGACTAGTGAATAACGGTTTCTTCATGATAAAAATGAGAAAGATGTACCCACTGGGAAAACCATGGTGGTATCAATCCAGAAGGGCAGGGCTGAACACATTTTCTGTCTGTGGAAGCAGATCTGCCTTCATGAGCATGGGGAAGATTGGTGTGATGAACCCCATCTTATCACCGTGTCTGGCAAAGTGTGAGTGGCCCAGCAGGAGGGTTGTACAAATGGGCCTCATATTGCTGGGAGAAGATTTGGAGGCTAATTAGTGTGACAGAGGCTTAAAAAAAATCACCTTGTTACCATATTTGAATCCAATGTCAGTTCCTCCAGCACAATCCTTTTACTTTTCATCTCTTCCCACATTTACATCTGATGAAAATACGCAGCGCTTTCATAGCTTTCCGTGGAAATTGTCTCTCTGACCTTCCCAGCTGAAGCAGTCGATGGCTATTCTCTCTCTGCTACCTTGTGTCTTGGAAGAAGCTCAGCTGCTGACGTGAGTCTTATTCAGACAAAAGACACTGGTGGGTTTGGGACATTATTGCTTCCACAGCTCTGTGGAGATGCCCGTTGATGTTGCTTCCTGCAGATCTCAGACCACAGCCAGTCTCCAGTTCA